CTTCATTATGTAAAATTATCTAAACTTTGGTGGTAAAATGAAGAACTATATTGAAGAAATACTTTTTTTATCAATTCTACAGTGAATTTTAAGAAAAGTAGACAGAAATAGGAAGGCAAGAAAAACATTCTGTCACTTCAGTATATTGTCAGGGCCCTAATAAATCCGTGGATAGATGTCCAGAAAACATCTGTTTACAAAAACAGAAGAGTATTTGCTTTCTTTTTTTTACTGAAGCAGCTGGTTTTATAGGTTGAAATTGTCGTATTTTATACTGTGGGTTTTTGTGAAGCAACAGATTTTACAGGAACCATGCACTGAGCACTGTCATCAGTTGCTTTAATGTAACAAACGTTCTAACCACAACCAAAGCTCGTAGCAATGAGAGATTTTCAAAAAAAGGCAGTGTCCACAATGGTATTTATTTATTTCTCAAAGATATTTTATGTGTGGTTCTGAGAGGGAAAGAATATGTATTTCTGCAATTATCAAATACTTGAAAAATGCAGGTTTAGTTCCTTCCTAGGTAAGAGTAGATTCAATTGTCATTTTTGGAGCCTTCTGATTTACAAGGTGTAGGATTAGAAATAGTACTTCTCTTTAATCTCTCAAAACAAAAAAGGGATATTCCAAAAGCCTATTTTCCTTTCCTTTTTGTTTAACATAACCTTTGGCATCAAAGAATTCCTGTAGTCCCTGTGTGGTTCCGGTGAGACTAAGCCTCAATAAGAATTCATTCACCACTAAAAAAACTCACATTATTTACACTATTTGAAACTAAGACTAAGTTATTGGTAAGACAAACTGAGAACACCATCAGTGAGTTTTGCAGATAGTTTGCTTTTCCTGCTTAGATTTTTACTGCAATCATTAGCCAGCTGCACAGGCAGGAAGGAGCTTTTATTTTCTTTGTGTGTATACAAGGAACTTTCCATTTCAAATCTGCTTTAATGAAAAGAAAGTCAGCCTTCAGAGTCCTAGCAGGAGCCCTGAATTTCAATGAAGACAAATAAATATTCTGTTGGAAGATTAAGCTTAATATTTTTCAATGCCAACACAATCTACCACAGGACTTCAGGAAGAAGTTTCACCCAGAACAGTTATCCCAGAAGTAGTACTAGGGTTCTTGTCACTTACCATTGAAGTGGTTTCTTTTGATCCTGAGAAGGGTTGGTGATTTTCTTTCACAGCAGGGACTTCACCAGCTTACCCACGTTTGGTTTTTGATAGGGTGCTAGAAGATGGGCAACCTAGCCTTGCCCTGTGGCTCTCTCTCCGAGCTGGATATTCTAGGTCTAGAAGTTGACTGGGAGCAGAAAAGACAACACATTCCCCTTCAATAAACAGGTGAAGCGGGGCCTGATACTTGCACATATGTGTTTTAGATAGAGCCTTCTTAAGGAATGAATTTTTTCCCCTTAATTGGCATGCATTCCCTGAAGGTTTTAAGAATGAAAGAGTGCCTTATGCATATTTCAGACTCAGACAAGAGAACTTTCTTTAGTCTATACCTAAAAATCTTTGCACCTTAACCATGATGACACTTTCAGATGCTTTCAGATGGAACTTCTCCTTTGCTTCTACTGGCAAACGTATGTCGTCAAGTAAAATCATTTACCTCTTAGAATTAAGAACTCCACCTCCATTTAGAGGAAAACTATTTTTATAGATTGGTGAGATATGGATACAGACACAAGTGATCAGTGCAATTATTTGTCTTTGAAACACGTATCTGAAAAGCCTTTCCTCTGATGAACAGTTCAAGAGGTCAAAACTGAGAGAAGCCCAGCTACCAGAGGCACACAATCCTCCCTTTAAGTAGAGAGCAAGCCTCAAATCCTTCTGGACTTAATATTTTTACATTGCTTCCAGCCTTTGGTCAAGCACCTACCCCAATCACAGAAAAGTACGTTTTTAATTACATTTCAACAACATTCTTGGCAGGAATCAAGAAAAAAAAGTTATATTATACCACACAACACTGGATCATTCCCCCATAAAAATGGCATCAAAGCAATATTGCTTTATCAGGCAAAACCCCACCTTAATCATCATAACCCAGCTCCACAGAAAGTCAAATGCAAAGCCAATGGTGTACTGCTCCAGCAAAGGAACACCACAAAGGTACAAAGTATTTGTTTAGAATCTAGGTTGAAGCTGTCCAAGTACCTACCCGTAAGGTTAAACCCTTGATTTTTGCTTCAAAAGGAGATTGTTTAAAATACCCAGAGCAGATTGAAGAACATTATAACACTGAAGAAGGAATGCAGGGAAGCAGCAATGCAAAGTTTTACAGAATTCCCCATCCGCATAACTGTTACTGCCGGGAAAACGGATCACGGTCTCTGTGCTCCTTCTGTCCCCTGTGTGCCTCGTTAGAGGCTGCTGGCAAGCGTAAGGTATTTTTTCCCATCACACACACACATCCACTCATACAATTAATTTCATTCATACCAGTCTGCCACGTAAAATTTATTTTCAAACAGTAAGGACGCCTGCTATGTATACACCACTGTTCAACAGCAGACAGACACCGCACACCTTTTTCATGGTGTTTTTTTGTCCAAAAGCTAAGCTGACCAAATCAGTAGTTAAGTTCAGATGCCTCAGTCCGCATAATTTTCAGTAAGTATCTTTCACTTATAAATGAAGATGCAGGAAAAAGTTACTGAAACAAGAATCAAAACCAGACTTACTGACCCAGAGTACATTACTTTGAGAGGCAGATTAAAATTCAAGACATGCTGTGCAAATTTGCTTGTATTAAAAAAAGAAATAGAATGATCACCATCACAGAAAAACCCACACACCATCTTCATTAACTACATTAAAATACAGAGTATTTACAAAGAAAGCAGCTAGCCAGAATCAGCTATGCAGACAAGTTACAAATCCACAAATACAAACTACAAAATCCAACCAGCCAATTCGTACCATGTCAGCTGCAGTGCAGCTATTACCAAGTAGATTTGTATCAATAAGCACTTTCACAGAAGTATAATTTTTGTTAGGTTGGTGAGGAGGGTGTTTCTGTAGCCATTGCTTGGTATTTTACTGCTGTGATGAAAAGGTGGATTATTAAATAGCATATACCAAGACATAATACATAAATTAGCAACGAAGTTTAGATCATGTTCACCAACCTGCTGACTTTTTCCCCCTCATTGGAGTAACACTGTATAACTGAAGATCAATTTAACTATCATTGTAAACAGCACACAGCACTTAACACTGTCCCCAGAGTTGATCTTTGCTGAATGAGGAGAAAATACACTTCTCCTTTAAGAATATTTACATCATTTACTATACACTATCACTTATTTTCTTCAAACACAATACACATACACTGACATTCACTTATGCCAAGTTTAGCAACCTCAGGTTTTTTTCAAGTTCTTGCACGTTTTTTTTCAAGTGTAAACCCCAGTGTTCTGATATTCATTTACATAAATATCCTAATCAGATTTTGTTTAAACGATAGTAACATTTCCTGGCTAGCCCTTCATTTAATTTCTCTTAATTTCTGTACAGAAACATATCACCAGATTGGAAAGACATTTCAATCAAAACCAGCTTTTTGTATGTCTGAGCACACACACCTACAGGAATGCAGGAGTACAGGTATGTGCAGGAACTGATTCGCCAGCAGGTACATCTAACTTAGAGTCACTAAAGCAATATAACTAATTATCATGAGTGACCACATTTCACACACTTTTTTTTTTAAGACAGATTACATAAAGTGCATCATAAAGTTCCTGACTGAATCCATTTTTATTTGTTCTGGCTTCTGTATGTATTAACCTCAGCTAACATAAGTGCTTGTATTAAGATTAAGACAGTGGTAATGAACTATACATATTTTCTCTTACACAATTTTATTTATTCTAAGGGGGGAAACAGTAATAAAATCACCTAGCCAATATTAGAAGTACAGAATTGCATTCAGACACAGGTAACACTAGAATGACACTTTTAATTAGAATATAAAGTTAAGCTTAGAGTCTTCTGTTACTTAGGAGCATAACGAGGAAGGCCTGTGGTCAGACCAGAGCTCCCAAAGTCTGGGGTATGGAAAAAAGTGGACTGAGCTCCAGCCAACGTAACCAAGAGCACAGCAGTTCATAAAAGCACATTACAACAAAGGTAAAGGGATAGAATTTTCTCTGCAGCCTGCCGGGGAAGCAAAGAGGCACAGGATGTGCAATAGTTGGGATACTCCTACAATTTAAAAGCTTTTTCTGCATTTCCAGAAGCTACCTTATAGTCACTGTTGGAGAACTTATCGCCTGTAAGGAAAAAAGGCTTTACAGAGAACAGCCCTAGCTAGAACCTTGCTTTCCCTTTCACAGAGGCAGAGAGGACCAAGATCCAGATTCTTATCGACCAGCTTAAAACTAGTAACAAAAAATTGTGAGTAGGTAGAACCAATAAGGTTCAAAGCCCTGTAACTCACAGGTATACCAGTAAAACTGAGTGGTGTATGAGCATGGACCTTAGGAGTATTCGTCTATCTCTTCAGGTAATAAACATGAAGAAAACCAGGTAACTTTACTCATGTGTAGATCAATAGTGGTAGATTAGAAAAAAGTTAATACTGTACAGAAAGAGGATGTACAATTATAACAAAAACTGACTTGATGGATACAGATTACTCTATACATGCAAAGATACCTGCATATCACGTCATTCTCTTCAGTACGAATGTATATATGCATGTATGTGCACATACATACGTGTGTGTGTATATGTATACACACCCCCAAAAGACAGGGAAATCGATTTTGTTAAATATTACAGAGCAAGAATACTCTCACACTTCTGAACAGTCCTTTCTTAAGCGTTAACTTACCTCATGAACTACTGTCACAGACGAAGTTTTATGTTTTGGTTGTGTGATGCCACTCTTCTCCCCTCCCTAAACTCGTAAGCAATGACGCACTCAGTTTAAAGAAATGAAAAAGTTGCTGCAAAATGAACTAGACAAATTAGATACTTACTTATCAAAGCTATCACTGTATTTTATGAAGCTCTCCAATTTTTCCTTGGCATATTCTACCACATCTGAGTGAAGCTCTATTCCATGATTTATCCCAAAAGGTCCTGTAAATAAAAAACAGCAGGGTCGTTTTTGTTTGGGGATTTTTGTTGTTCCGCTCCCCCTCTCTCC